TTTATTATATAATAAGCGGCAATTTCAACAGAGTGGAAATATGCACAGCACAATTTGCTTCAAAAATGAGTGAGATGCTTTTGAACAATCTCAATTTCAATTCCTTTAAATTAGTATTTCAAAACATAGCCTGCGAGTGATGGAAATGCAATCTGCTGTACTAGAGTGACACACAGGTTGCCTATAGCGCACACATGGTACAACCTTAGAGAATTAATATGTAGTGCAATTGTATAATAATATACAATTCATGACTGTATTGTAAAATAAATGAGTAATTTCCCGCATACATTGCTGTTTTTTTAATAGATTATGAGAAATCAATTACTAATTTTTAAAATCTCTCAAGAAATATTTATTTATGCCATCACATATAAATCCAGAATTATTATTTTAGATCTCTCTTATTGAACTAATGCATTCTATGTAAAACATAATATAATTAATATAGCATGTAAGTTTTATCAAAAGGACCAACAAATATAGATCTTATCTAAAAATAAAACTATTGTAATTAGCATTATTATTGAAAAAAATTAATAAATAATAAAATCAACATTATATTACAATATAATGTTACTGTTAAAAATATAAAAAATATGAAATTTCACAATTCTGTGGCGTTTAAATTAATTGTTAAAATATGTTAAATTTTTAAGTAGCATCATATTAAATATTAATTCACTTTCTAAAGCAGAGAAAAAATAAGTGTTGTAAATTAAATTTTAATAACGGTGGCGCGCGGCGGAAAGGCCGCTAGGTTAATTAGGGTCACGTGGAATCAGTTCTGGCAACCTGATTTTTCGCTATGAATTTAAATAACACACGAGGGCAAAATTTATTGCGGCAATAAATTCAGCGCAACGGCCCCGACAATACAAATGTGGCGCGCACCGGTGCCATATACTTTCGGCTTTTATGAATATTTGATTGCGAATTTGATTAAAACGAAGGCCCGGCGTGGCACTCATTATCATTGTAAATGACAATTGAGATTCTCCACACACCGTGTGTTCAGTGTAATTCGGCGCCGGCAAAAATATTCCCTCGCTCTCCATAATGCGCGAAAAAGCGGCCAATGTAATTGAAACGAGTGCCCGGCCCGGCCATGAATTATGCAGCAGCGCTACAAAATCCCGCCATGTTGATGATTTCGCTCATTAATGTGCGCGCGGCCGCCGGTCATTAATTCGGAAAGAGCGCAATTGTCATGAGATTTGACGGATAAATGTGCGAATAACGTTCGCAAATAAATTTAATGCATTCAACACCGTATTTCCAGAGCCAAACGAATAATAAAATTTACAAAGGGGGGACGCGATCGAATTAATGAAATCCTCGCTCACCGTATCTCTATCCCAAGATGATATCCGCGGTGTCGTTCAGAATATCGCTGGTTGCTGAAATAGATTTTTTGATATGCAATAAATCTAGTTACTTGAAATCACGGTATGTTTCGATCGTTGGAAAAAAATTAACGCTAGAGATGTGTAGCATTTTGTTTAAAATTTGATTAAAATATATTATTATGCCAATCGAAAATGGAACATGCCATTTTCATGCATGATGTTTTTACTGAAAGTTTCTGAAAACTTTCAGAAATTTTTGACAGCTCAGAGTAATTTAAAACAAAATCGCAATGCCGCTTCATTGATTCTGCAAATTGTTTTGAAAATGCGTAAAAATTAAGTAGGCGTAGCAGCTATTTAAAAAATCTTTAAATCACCAATCTAAAATACAGCAACAACATTGAACACCTAATAATTTTTTATTATCGTTTTATTCTATTGGAATAATTTTATCAGAAAAATTGTTTTCATCAATCAATTTCGCTTTTGAAATAAAACTAAAGCGCAATTTTTTGAAAAAAATTTGTTAAAAGTGGGAGTACGTTTAATGCATTTAACAAAGTATTTTGAGAGCAGATCAGATATACTAAAATTTATACAAAGGGGAGATCTTGGATTAATGAAATCCTCAGCGGGCGCATCTCTATCCGAAGAAGAGATCTGCGGTGTCGATTTGTTCTCGCCGCGGCAATTGAGCGGAAAAGCGAAGGGCCGTTTATCACCATCCACCGCCGCTTTGTGACATTATTAACCCGGCCGGCGAGTAATGAATGCTCACTTGATTGATTCCTTCATTGTGCATGCGAGGCATGGCCAGCACTCTTAAATCAACCGCCAGATACTTTCAAAGACAAATTCCTCCCGTGCCCAAGGGTAGAATTCCAAATTATCGCACGCTCCGACGGAGTGTCCCGTCGCACCCTGCACAGCACCCCCGGCGCGAGAGACGAGGGCCGAGTGCAAAAATAACAGACACTGCCCTGTAATTATGCAGCCCCGGAAAATTCCCGCGCTCACTTATATATTCCTGCCTCTCTCTTTCTTCAAGTTGGTCCTTCTCGGTCGCTTTCCCCTCTCGGCAGTTAAAAATTCGCATTTAAATATTGAATGAACGCGGCGCCGACTGAGAGAGACTAATGTTATTTCTACGGGTTGGAACTAACTGCTTTTAAGACCCTGGGGTAATAGCAAGACGTTAGCGAGAGTCGATCACAATTTTTGCAGCTCTCTCGTCGTGTGTGTGTTCGTCGGTTCGTTCGTCTGATGTATCAGCAGCAACACCGTGGGGGCAAATGATTCCGACCGGTTAATTGAATTTTTGACGAGAAGCAACGCCAGCAGAGAGAGCGAACGAGACCACCATTCGGCTCACTGCGCTCCAAAGAAAATCCGGCCCTCTGCAGATATAGATCGGCGGGATTGCCAAATTCAATTCCGAGCTCGATTTGAGATGAGAAACTTATAATTAATTTCATCCACCGAGATCGTTGGAACGCGAAATTTATTTGGTAGGAAGAAAAGATAATTATATATTTTTGCTAAATTTGGATGTTTTGTAAAATTTAACTTTGAAGAGCATGGGTGAAATTATTTCTTCAATGAATTTATGCTATTCTGTTTAAATCTGGTTTCAATACTAACGTTTTTTAAATCTCCAGCGATTGCTTGCAAGTGGGAAGCTAAAACATTAAATATTATCTCTTGGAAGATTTTGTAAAACAAATAACAAAAAGTTTTTATTGCATTCCGGTTCCGCCATTAGTTATGAAATTATCTTGTATAATAATCAATAAAAATAATAAAAAAAAAAACAGTACTAAAATAATAACAAATTTTAAGACGACTGGTCATTTTTCTTTTATAATTTAATTTGTATTTGTTAATTGAAGCACAAAATTTAGTGCAGTCCATTGTTAAAAAAAGAGATTTGTTTCTAAAATACCGATATTACCGATTTTAGAAAAGGTAAAATAATTTATACTCGTTTCTCTCGCGCTGCTTATTATTTCTAAATTTGACAAGTAAAGTGCTCATTTTATGAAATCTAAATTGTTGGACCACATATTAAAATATTTCTATAATCAGTGTGCCCATAAAAGTGATACTGATTGTGAACCGTGTCCCTGAACGTTTGAAATTCCGAGGCAGGATTTTACATTGCGGTGATATGACTTGTGCGCCCTGATGCTCTGAGGTGTGCATAAAGAAAATATAGCTTTCTCCGGTGCAGGCGAAGCAAAAATAATCAAAAAGCAGGCGGTGGGCGATGCGATACTGCACCCCGAAGCACAATAATCTCCTGGCTTTTTTGCATCAATCCAGCTGGCAGAACGCGAATTCATATATTTTTGTTTTATGGCGCGCGGGCTTTGCAAATATCCGGAAGAAATGAAACACTAAATTAAATTTCTCTGGCGGGCGCGAGGTGCCATGAATCAATTGGTTGGTCCTGCAGGCAGGCGTCGGTGAGTGTGTGTGCGCCGGAATGGCAAGAGCGAAGAATAAAAGTTATGATGGCGTACAGCTATTTCACAAGCTTCAGGATGATTTATATGACACCCCCGGGAATAACTCAAGTGAAATAGGAAGCACTGTGTGCAGTAAAATATACAGAAGAGCGGCAGCAAATGGAAGACAATATAATGTATGCAGCGCCCTTAAAAAGCTAAACACAAAACCAAGAAGATTGAAAAATTTCAAATTCAAAACGAGGACATAAAAAGACAAAGTAGGGAAATATGAATTTTAAATTAACATGTCACACGGAATAACCTTACCTCGCTCTTCTTCTTCTGCTCTTATTCTTTCCTCCCTTTTTACTCCGGTCCTGCGGTTTTATTGTTGTGGGTCTTTCTTGAACGGCTGCCGTGCCGCCGCTCTTCCCTTTTATGCATGCACACTCAAATGTCACATGTTCTTACCAAGATTAAAAAATCGCTTCGCAAATTAGGAAAAGCAAAGGTGCCCCTTGCTGAGGGAGACGCGCGCGCTTTCAAAGAGCAAAAGTTCTCAAACAAAATTTTCCCAAAATTATTAAATTTTATGTAAGTATTTGAAATTTTTTAGAGGAATATAAAGATTATAGATAATAGATAATAGTCAAATACACTATAAAATGAATTAAAAATTGAAAACATCAATCAATATAAGGAATACTTGGCACCAAGAAGAATAAATAATAATAATAATTTTTTTTGAAATAGCTAAAAGAATTTATTAAAAGAATTATTGTAATTATATAATATATTAGTTAACTTGCGTTTTGGGACCTTCGTTTTTATTTGTGGACTATATTTCTTTTTTAAGTATTCTTTACAAAAAGCCTAATAAATTTATCTGAATTAATATGAAATTTGAAATTTAAAATGCAAATAAAAATTAAATTCAATATTTTCAAATTTATACTCTGATTTTTTTGTAACTCTTCCTAATTTTTATATTGACAGATATGGATATTTTGACCATTCTTATTTCTGTGGATAGCAAAAATTATATTTTTACACTTTCATTGTCAAATTCATAGTCAATTAATGAGATTCTAAAGCTTTACTTTGAGCGCTCTTGTATAATATTATTTTTCTTCTGCATGGACTGCATCTGGACTGTGGACTTGTGGAGAGAGCTGAGCTTTGAGCTTTGATCGTGCCCGAGTCGTGGCAGCACCTATACGAATGCGAAACGAGACGAAAACACAACACACGTGTTTTTGTGCGGACGCTCCGAAAAATTTCAAAATTATTTTCCAGGTATGTAAATTTAGTATTGTTTACATTCTAACTTTCTCTGACGACTTTCAAAAAATATTATTTCTCTTATTTTATGTGGGGCCTAAAGAGAATCTCCAGTTTTGTGGCTAATCAAATTTTTTAATACTAAATTCGTTTTGTCTCCAGCAGGTTTTCCTCTGCTAATCTGAAAGCATTTTCTTCCAATCATCTCGGAATAACGAAGATCTTCTGCACAATGCCTGAAAATTTGGGCACCCCTTTCGTGCTCTGCACCACGCAGAGCGACAGCCGATTGCTGGGAGTGGAACCCGTCGATGAGGACTGCATTTTGGCCACGTTCGACAAAGTTGTCACAAAGTATAAGGTTGTGTGAATATTTTTAATGTAAATGAAACAAATATTAATTTGCCATGATCTGCAGGTTGTTGACCAGAAAGCCGTGGCCAGTTGGTCTTTGAAAGAAGGCTTCAGCTGCCCAGCCATCTACGACTCGACTAATTCAGTCTATGTGGCAGTGACCAAAAGCAATCAAATCCTCTCTTGGGACGATGACACTGAAAATCTGCAGAAATTAAAAAAGAACACGGTTAGTTAATCATTCAGATAAAATAAATTATAAATTCTACTAATTTCCTATGACTTTTGCTGCAGGTTCTTTCGCCTATCTTAAAATTGAGTGCTTTCGATGGAGTAGCAAACGTTGTTTTCCAAAAAGGGGCAGTTGTTCCAGTCAATGAATCTATTTCTAGAAAGAAGGAAAAAATGCCAGAAATTTTGCCAGCAAAGGCATCAAAAGTTCTTTTTGCAAAAGACAAGCTTGACCATTTAGCAATATTTTTCTCCATGGTAAAGATTGAGCAGTCTTTATTTTAAAATTTTGATTAAAAATTGTTTGCTTACTAGGACTCTTCTCTGTGTTGGATCCTAAGCAGTGGTGAAGTGAAGAGCACTATTGAAATTGTTAGAAACGGTTTTCAGCTTTGGGATGTTTCCTTCGAAGGCACTTCTCTCATCACATTTTGTTAGTATTGATGAAATTTTTAATCTCAATAATATCTGAGATCCAATGTTTATTTTCAGGGAGTGATATGCAGATCTTTTTATATGATTTAAACGGAGAGAAGGAATTCCCAGGAAAGAGCCTTGGATCTGTTTTGAGTTTGCAGGAATTTTCAAAGGTGGCGATTGCTTCTGTTGGAGAAAATAACATTCTCTTCTACGGAACAAAACCGGCGGATTCGAGTAAGTTTTTTCAGTTGTTGTTTTCGAAATTTTTGATTTTATTTTCGTTTAAGGTGGGCTTATTGGAATCTACAACACAGCATTCAAGGTGGTTCAGGAAGAAACGGCCATAAAAAGTGCTGAGAAAGTTCCAAAAGTGTTTGGGCCGTACTTGTCCTACATTTTTGTCCCTTGCGAGAGTCAAGTTATGTGCGCCTCATTTGGGTTGGTCAACACAGACCTTTCTCAGTTTCTTGGCATGTCAAGCCCCTTAGGTGAGCAGGAAAATAATAGGTAAAAAATTCAATTCAAACATTTTTACAGAGAGTTCTAAAGTTGAGATGCTTGAATGGGACGACTCTCCTGAGGAAGAATTTAACATTTCTGTTCCTGAAAATTTGGCGGAAGGTTTCAGTAAACTTTTATGCCAAGGACTTCCAGAATACAAGTAAATAGCAAAAAATCTAATAATATGATGTTGTTTAATGATCATTTATAAATCAGGATCAGCGAAACAATGATGCGGCCCTTGATGGAGAAAAAGCATATTGCTTCAATCACCCGCCTGCTGCAGACCATGTGCAAAATTTCAGAAAAAACTCTGGTCAAGTTGGTCTCACTCTGTCTGCGAGGCGAAGAACAAGATTTTTCCGACGGCCATTCCGACGTTGAAGAATGTTCTGCGTCGTTGCCACCAGAGTCGCCTTTGACGGGTGGAAGGAAGAGACTGTTGCACCTCACACTCTCAAAGCCATTCACCTCGAGTAAACTGCTGCCAGAAATAAGAAGGCACATTTCCGCCCAAGATGCAGTTCTCTTTATTCAACACATTGCTGCCCAACTTTGGGACGGTGACGATCAAAACGTTGAAAACGAGGCTCTTTTGGTACGCATTTTTATAACTGAAATCAAAAAATTTACAATTAAATTGATGAGGACAGAACCAAATGGTCGCGTGGATTTCTGTAATTTTGGATGCTCATTACCAATACTTCCTCTTGACCTGTGATCAGCAAGTCACAACCGTATTGAATGCCCTTTTAGCAGTCATCGATTTGCAAGTATGTGCAATATTTTGGCATTTAAATTTGATGAAAATCTTTTTTATTTTATTTTTTTCTGTAGATTGTGCATACAAAAGAAATGGGAAAACTGAAGCCTTTAATTGAGCAAGTGGTCAAGAAATATGAGGATGAAACCAAAACATTTACATCTCAGCTTGCCATTTTTCCATTGACGGATCCTACCTGGAATGATGAAGAGAATAAATAAATTTTTTTATTAATTTTACAACCACTGTAATAATTTATTTTTCTTGATCTAATCATGATCAAATTAATTTGAGCTACTTGAAAATTAAAATACAGCAAAAAATGATATAGTTATAATGTACAACCCTTCCAATTTTGACAAAAGCAAGAATTAAAATAAATCACAACTTGCTTGATAATACTCAGCTTTAATTAAGACGAGTGTAATTTATTAGGGATGTCTGAATTAATACGCTTGATAGTTCATAAAGAAAAATCAGATTTTATTAATTAATTTGAATCTGGAAAAGTCAATATTATATTCTTTGTATCCTTACTATTACAACACAGCTAACTCAAAGCTGTAAAACGTGCACAACATAAAAATAGTGAACAAAGAATAGTTCAGTTAAGATTTTGCTAGTGACTGGCATGGAATACTCTTCTCTCAAAACACATTCACTCTCAATTACGATAAGTAACTACACTAAGCAACTTGGTAAGAAGTGGGCTGCTTGTATCACAGTTCATCAGTTTAGTCAATCTTGACGGCACCGTAGATTTTTCTAATGAAGGCGTAGGCAGCGAAAAATCCAATGGTGCCCGTCAATAACCAGAAAGTGAGCACCATGATGCCTGTGTAGCCAAAGTACAACAAGGTGGGAATGAACTCGGAGATTTCCAGTTTTGTGGCAAAGTAGAACACTGAGTATGCAAACACGTAAACGGCTGAGCCACCCGAGACTGTGAAACTTCGCCACCACCAGCGGTAGTCCTGAAATGCACATTGGTCAAGAAAAATACAATTTGTTTTCTATAAATTCTTTACCTCTCCACAAAGTTGGAAGTAGACCATTACAATCGAGATTTGAGAGCAAGAAACGACCAGGATTAAATATACCAGGAACAAGAATCCAAATAGATAGTAGAACTGATTTTCCCAAATGGCAGTGAACACAAAAAATAGCTCGATGAAAACAGCTCCGAAAGGTAACACGCCAGCCATCAAGGTGCTAAAAAATAATTTTTTTGTCACCGGCCGATTTTTTATATAAATTTTTGACTTACCAGAGGAAGGTGTTCATATACCAAAGCTGCTCTGGCACCTGTCGAGGAATCTGGTTAGTGCGAACGGGATGTTGGAACGGCTGCTTGCGGAATCCGAAATAGTAGCCAAGGTAGACGAGAGGCAGGGAAATGCAGAACCAAAGACACAACAGTGCCAACATGGTCGGGAATGGCACTGCTCCACTCGAGTGTTTGCCCCAGATGAAGAAATTCAGGAAGAAGCAGGTGCAAAATACGATTCCAGGATACAAAGTAGCAGTCTGTTAAAATTTGTAGTTTTTAAGCACAAAATCAGTAAAATTAAGTAATTGCTAAGCTTACCAAAAAAGCAGCTCTTTTCCATTCCTTTCCCTTCATGGTTTTGTAAACCCTGGCTGAGAAATATCCGGCAATCAGACCCATAAAGACGTAGCAGAAAATTGCAGCTGTGGCCAGAGCACCTCTAGATGCAGGGGACAACATTCCAAGCATGGCAAAAACTATAATTGACCATAATTTGGTTATTTGAGTACAAAATAAAAGAAAAGCTCCTTACAGATGGTGATTAGGGCCATCAAGAAAATCTGGATCCCACTTCCGAGAACGGCAGCAAAAAGTCGAGGATATCGGGGTGGTCTGAAAACATCACCGTGTACCAACTTCCAACCAGTTTCTTCGACAGCCTCATCAGGCCCTTCGTCCTGGTTGTAACGAGCAATGTCTCGGCGCAGAGTGCGGACCATAATCATAGTCAATATTCCTATTCAAGATTAATGTAATAAAATATATTTATGTCTAAAGGATGGTTTTTACCAGAAAGGAAAAAGACAACAACTAGCGAGTTGACAATGGAGAACCAGTGAATCTGAACATCAGACATTCGCAGATAAATGTCCCATCGGGACGCCCAACTAATGGGGGAAGGGTGCCACTCAACACTGTATGTGAAAAAGAGTCTGGTGCCTCCTTTTGGATTCACAACTTGCTGCTTGTGCTGCGTGGGGAACGAGCACCGCCAGTCAGTGCCTCCATCGGCTTTTTCAAACTTCATTTCACTTTGGTCAACGCTAAACGTTTCCACTTCGAAACCAACAACGCGGAACGTTTCACTAAAAGAGTCATTATAACAAATTTATTAAATCATTTAAAAATAACATTTTACTTGTTCTCTGTGTGGTAGAGCAGCTTCAGTTTTAAATGGTTGTTGACGAAGCTGCCCATCGATTCGAACTGAATGCCGAGTCTGTAACCGTGCTCAAAACGTATTTCACCCGTGTCAGGGTCAGTGACCCTCGTCGCCACTGGAAGGTTGTCCACCAACCTGTAGTAAAAAAATATTAGCGCCTCAGCCACAAATTTTAAATTAATTGTTAAATTACAGATGAACATAGTATTCGTGTTGGATTCGGTTGATGACGGCCTGGGAAGATTCGTCGCCCCAAGTCATGGGATTTCCAGGCGAGTGGCAAAGCAACTTGCAAGGGACGTTTACTGCCATTCGCACATCGTAGGGCGTGTTTACAATTCGATCGCCTCTCAAAACCTCCCCTGTGCAAATTAATTAAGGTTAATACCTCACATAAATTTGATATCGATCAAGCTTACCAAGATTTTCCGACTTGTAAATAAAAGTCCCATTTTTGGGGAGGCAGAAGGGCAGCGAATAATATTCGTAGGGCAGTTGGGTGTGTGTGCTTGTCATTTTTACGGCTCGCACTTCTATTTTTGAGCCTCTGTGGAATTCGACAGGAGCCACACCGGGTACGTAAAATGCATGGCAGCAGCTGCCAATCAAGGTCAAAACCAGGAAGAGCACAACTTGTATACTTCTGTTAAGCCTCATCTAAAACAACGAAACAAAATATAAATTTAATAAAAAAAATTGAAAATTTAATCAATAAGATATTAATGACAAAATAAGCATTTCAGCACTTTTATTTAAAGGGGGAAAAATTATTTGCTAAGCTGGCACTTTTTTAGTCATCATAAAAAACCTTTTAATAAATTGATTAAGATTTTAGCAACAACTTGTAATTTTTACGCATGTTTTCAAACATACAAATTTTGTTGGGGTCAAATATTATATGTAAAATGTACATAATAAGACTAATACATAAGGCCGAAAAGTTTTTCAAGCTCATTTTCTGTCTTCAACAACCATGAACGTACCTTGGATTTTTGAGACGTGAACCGAGCAGATATCTCAACTACTCAATTGTCAAATTTGCACGGAATCAACGGAGGTTCAGAAAATAATTTATGCTAACATGCAGCACAAGACTGCACCGCAGTTTCGGTCTGCGATGGGCCAGGCGGTCCTTTTTCGCCGCTCAAAGGTGCCAGCAGAAGGTCTAAAATTTCAGCAACGTATCGCGTGTGGCGGCTGAAGTTTTGTCAACAAAATACACGAGTGCAACGTCAAAAGCGAGGGGTCGTCGTTCATATCTCATGCTGACGTACGCCATTTACTTCTCCGCACTGGAAATGCTGCAACCCTCAACTCAAATGCTTGACGTGCCACGCCCCCTTTTCGGCACGTAAAAAGCAGAAATCCGCAGGATTCAACGCAGTACGCATGCGTCTACTCATCAGCCGGTTGATAACAGGAGCTCGGGCTTCTACAAATTTGCAGCGCACGTAATTATTTCTGCAATTTTAATTATCAATTAACTTTTATTGTGTTATTTTGTAATCAATACATCAAATAATCCACCTTTCACTGATGTTGTCTGCCCCACAGGATCACCTTGCGCTACAAAAACACCATGGGTGACGAAGTGCAAAAAGCACAACAAGCCGGTGGCGAGGAGGACACTATTTTTGGCAAGATTGCGAGGAAAGAGATTCCTTGCGAATTTCTCTTTGAGGATGACAAGGTTATTTTCCTTATTTTAGTTTGTGACAATTGATTCAAAGTTGATTAAATTGCCCATTATAATAGATGTGATAAATTATTACAAATTCACAAATATAATATGTAATTTACTTGTTCGTCAAGATTTGTAGATTTTTAAAGTTAATTTTTTAATCATATTTTTTTAGTGTGTTGCATTCAACGATATCAGTCCGCAAGCCCCGAAGCACATTTTGGTGATTCCTCGCAAACCAATCCGGCAACTCTCCCTTGCTGACGACTCGGACGAGCAGGTTTGTTGACTTTTTGATAGTAAAAAATTAATTTGTGTGTTTAGCTATTTCTCTGAAACTAACATTTTATCACACAGCTGCTGGGACACCTACTGCTTGTGGCACGTCGCGTGGCCAAAGAGCAAGGTCTGGGCAGCGGATTCAGACTGGTCATCAACGACGGAAAGGATGGAGCCCAGTCCGTCTACCACCTGCACATTCACATTCTCGGCGGCCGCCAAATGCAGTGGCCTCCTGGATAATATACAATTGATTCTGAGTGTGAAACACCCAGGTATGCTAATTACTCTGCTTGCTATGGTTGATTTTTTTTATTCGATGGGTGTCGATGACATTAAATGGTTTTGTCGATAAATGAAAATAAGTAAAATCTTTTAATAATTGATCTTATGAACCCTTTTTATATATTTATGAAAGCATAGAGTTTCAAATCGTAACCATCTCTTTTTTTTAGCCTCTTAAGAAATAAAATCTAGCACAGACAAATTCAGCTCAAGAGGCGGAATTTGTTCATAATAGTACAATTTTTTTTTCAATTTTCACCTTCATAATATCCATCTCTTTTTTTATTTTCTACCCCACTAGAAAATTTATAAAAATTATAATACAATAACTGTATCGAGAGAATTTTTTAATAAATAAAATAAAATATTAAATCTAGACTTATTCAGAAGAAAATTTCAAAAAATAAATATAGTCAAAATGTTTTTTATTTAATATTGTTGTTTTATAATTTTTCCTCCGTTTGAAGCCCTACTTGGCGAAAAATGATAAAAAAAAAAAAAAAAAAAAAACATTGTGCAGACATTTTATTTTGATTTCTTTATTATTCGTCTATTCCGTGTCATGTTACATAATTTATTAAAGTCACTGGTTATGGCACTCTCTGGTCCTTGCACAGTAAATCTCCTTGTATATTTACGTTTTAAAATTATATCAAAAGCACACAAACATGACTCCATGTGGTGATCAATATTTAATAATTATTACTTATTTTTTTCATCATGAGTTATCCAACGTTATACAAATTTAGGACCTGCTTTAATAGCTTAAGACTAGCAAAATTATTAAAATTTAATTCCACCCACCCCTTCACTCTGTTGTGGCAAAAGAGTTCTTGGCAGTGAAACGTGAATTATTTAATTAAGTTTGCGTCATGGAGGGATGCACCTTCACGGTCCTTTCGAGTTTTCTTGTCTTGCGGACTGGATGTTGTTAGCGTAATTGCAGTATTCACAAAAACCAGGTGGACCCTGAGGGCCTGGTGGTCCCCTAACTCCAGGCGAGCCTGAAATTTGCATGACAAGTTTTACTTAACAAATACGAAAAATTAAAGCTAAATATTCACCTTGTCTGCCTTGCTCGCCTCTGTCACCTGGTCGACCCGGCAACCCTACACCAGTTGGACCAGTTTCACCTGTGTGCCCTCTTGGACCTGGTGGCCCCTCTATTCCAACACCTTCAGGCCCCCTCTCGCCCTTTTCACCTTTCTCACCTAATTATTTTAGAAGGTGTTTAAATAAAATAAAATATAGTCTCAAAAATTTACCTTGAGGTCCCATTGGACCTACAGGACCCTGAGCTCCGGGAAGTCCAGTGAACCCTCTCTCTCCAGGTAGACCGGCAGGACCAGGGTCACCTTTTGAAAATAATCAGTAAATATGAGCACACAGGTTAGCTGATTAATGGAATCAAATAACAAACATGCAAATTTATTATAAAAAAGTGATATTAAATCGGGTTGATAATTTAGGTGTTTTCAAAACGTGCATAAAGAACAAAAAAGCAAATTAGCGCATTAATCAAAAGCAGAAAAGATGCTGGCCAAATGTACGTATGTACGAAGTCGAAATTGTGTGATCCAATCAAATGAGAAGGCTGGACATAGATTTTATTGATTCCATTAACCCTGCGACCTGTGCTGCTTAAAATTGTAGCTACCTGGGATCCCTTTGACCCCTATTCTGCCAGGTCTTCCAATCCTACCGATACCAGGTGGACCTGGGGGCCCTCGAACATCCTCAATAAACTCCGCCAGCCTCTCTGTGCGACACGCATAATTTTCGTGTTATGTTAATCAAGGTGAATAATCCCGCCTCCAAACCTCAGTCATACACAATGGGGGTAAATAAAAATGCGTATGGGGTGAAAATGGAACATAAGCCAATGAAAGGTTGCGCCTTTGACAAAGCTCCAAGCTCTGCATGCCTGTCGAGGACAGAGAAATTCAAACCTGGAGATCCCTGAAGGCCGGCAGGGCCTTGCCGACCAGGCCGCCCACGACCTGGTGGACCTGGAGGGCCTACGAGCGTAGATGCGTATTCCCTTATGTAATCTGAAAATTTTATCAGCAAAGAGGGCTCGATCGTTACAATCGGCACTCGTTTTCCCCATAAAATGGCCCAAAATCAAAAAGAATTTCAATTTAAAAAACATACCTCTTATCACATTGATGCACAACTCCTTCACCTCGGCTTCGGTGAAACTCCGGCCGGGGGGCCCCACAGCTCCGTGCAGACCCGGTTGCCCCCTCTGACCCTGAGGACCAGGCAGACCAGAAGGTCCATCTTTCCCAGGGAGGCCTAAAAGATAAAATATTATTCCATTTAAAATTTTAAAGAATATCTATTTTTTGGTAGTAATTTTTGTTAAAATAATTTTAATTAGGAGAAATATTTAATATTTTAATCCGACGTTTGAATGTTGACGATAAAGAATTAAACTAGTCAGCTCGCTTCACAAGTGTGTCAAGCAGGTTGCATACCCGGCATTCCCGGCTGGCCTTCTGGTCCTCTTTCGCCGTTTGCTCCGCGCTCACCAGCCTGTTGTTGAAAATGACAATGGATTAATAGTATAAATTATTTCTAATTGTAACAATAAGATAAATTTAACAAATTACCGGTCCTTGTGGTCCCGGTGGCCCTCTAGGACCCATAACCGATTGAAAGTTGCTGCTGTCGGATACAGCATTGCTTGTAATTGTGACCATTTCACCTGGTGGACCGGGTGGACCTGCAGGGCCTTGTGATCCAGGTTTCCCTGGCAGACCAGGTAGCCCCATGGGACCGGCAGGACCTGACGTTCCCTAAAAAATTACAAAATTTTTAATAATAATAAAAAATCTAATGATAATGCTTACTGGAAGTCCAGGAAGGCCTCTTTGACCTGACGATCCAGAATCCCCTTTTTCTCCTAATCAACCCAAGTTTATATTATAATTACGCTGTAATAATTAATAAAAAAAAAATTCTTGAACTTTACCTTCATCTCCTTTTGGTCCAATTTTTCCATTCGCACCAGGAGTTCCGGGTTTTCCTGCTACACCCTTAAAAAATAATTCTACATAAAAATTTATCACCTTTCACTTGAAATAACCATAAAAAAATTCAATAAATGGACTTGGAATTTTAAAAATTTATATCTAAAACAATAAATAGCAACACTATATTTGGTAAATTGTGTAAATGACAAATCTGAGAGGGAGTATTTAGTTGATAGAAAATTGATCACTAAACTAATAAACTTACTGGAGAGCCGTGTGAGCCCTTCTGCCCTTGGTCCCCTTTCTCGCCTCGCTCGCCTCTTCGACCTTCTTCACCCTGAGGCCCTTCTCGGCCAGGCATTCCGATGAGTCCGTGCGCCCCCGGAGGACCGGCATCTCCTTTTTCTCCTTTGTCTGCTTTCTCTCCTCTTTCACCTTTGTCACCCTTGTCCCCGGCAGGTCCCGGTGATCCTAATCAAATATCAAATTATATTCCAAACCTTCTTTAGTTTAAAATAATTGTAAAATCACCTTCAGCTGCCGCGGAACCTGGTAATCCGGGGTTACCATCCAGACCGGCATCTCCCTTTCTACCTGAAATTTTATTTAAAATTTTACTGGTAATTTAACAGGGATTGTAGCAAAAAAAGGAACTCACCTTCCTCGCCTTTTGGACCTGGAGGGCCACTTGCTCCCTAAAACGTCAAGATAAAACACTCATTTGAATCTTTTCTACTTAAAACTTCCTTACTGGTGGACCGATTAATCCAGGGGGGCCTTGCGGGCCTATCAGGCCTCGGTCACCTTGGTCTCCCTTTTCTCCATAAGCACCTGGCGCACCATCTTTTCCGGGCAGGCCCCTTAACCCATCTTTCCCATCAATCCCCGCATCTCCGATTTCACCTAAAAATACACTTCAAGTCAAGCGGATGGATGAAGTGCTCCACAAAATGCATTGCCGCAGCAGCTGCATTTTCGTGTTGTTTTTGTTAGCTTGTCAAGCGCAGGCAAGAGGTCATGTGTTCTGTATCGTCAGGAAATTGGGACAGTTTACAAAAACTTCTTTGCACCTAAAGAGCAGATCGCCAGTTTATTGTATGAACGCTAAAATTAATCTTCTCTCAAAAATCCAGCACAAAACATTTCAATAGTTTACTAAATAGGCCTTTCAATCTCTTATTTATGCTTACAAACTACCTATTTAATTCAAGACACGAAAATGTGTCTATTTTTACTGACAAATAGGACCTCTTTTTATAAGTGGCCATCGAGGCAGCAGCATCAAGATTATAAAACAATAAAATGTATTTTTATTGGTGTGTGTGCGTAGGCAGGTCTGCTGCTGATTGAAAATAAAGGGTGATCAAAGCAGCTATAATGATTCAAAGGAGTGGTCCATCCATACAGCACAAATTCATTGATATTCATGACCAAATATCTGTGATAGGCGTGCCTTTCGAATTTTTCGCATTGGCATCCCATAAATATGGCACACACACACAAACGTGAAACAACATTTCAAACTCTACCTTTATCTCCCTTGCTTCCTCTTTCACCGCGCTCGCCTCTGTCACCCTGGGCGCCTTTTTCGCCAGGTACTGCGTCAACATTGTTACTGATAAAGCTTGGTGCGCCCGGTGGACCTGCAGGCCCTGTCAAGCCCTGAAAGTTTTCGATCAATCTCCAAATTTCAAAAATAATTTATTGCATTTAAAAATAAAACGTTTTTTACCGGGACAAGATTAATTTTTCGGATAAATAAATTATTTGCAATTTACCTGTGGGCCTGGATCGCCTTGGTCGCCCTTTTCTCCTTTTGAACCAAGCCTTCCTCTAGCACCTGCGTCACCTTTGTCCCCCTTCTCACCGTCAAGTCCTGGCAAGCCCTAGTTTTATAAAAGAAGTTAGAAGATAATTAATTATAATAAATAATAATCATACAATTGGTCCGGGTGGGCCTGGAATCGATTCACCCTCGATGGCAATGGCATCCCTTCCAGGTAGTCCGTCGGAACCCCTTTCACCCTTTTCACCCAAGTCGCCTTTAAATCCTAACTCGCCCTGGTTTTAAAAAAATTATTACGGAAGTTGAAGATTAATGTTGTTAAATATGCATAAGTGAGAGCTATTAATTAATTTGCTCTCCGTAAGACAAGCGATGCAAATTATATATACAAGTTATAATTACCCTTTCTCCTTTCTGACCGGCTCGTCCCGGTAAACCCTGAGGCCCTATGGCGCCTGCAATAAATTGAAAGTTAATTTATTGCGCGAGCCCTGCCTTTGTTGACTTTGTAACCCACCTGGAATCCCTCGTGGTCCTTGAGCACCAGACTCACCAGCTACGCCCCAAAAAGTGATGAAACATACAGAAAGTGAACTTGAAAGGTAAAATCTTCAGTTTTACTAAAATTAAAATGTAGCCACATGCAAAAAAATAGAAATAAAATGAACTCTTCTCCACTACAAAAAAACTGACTATATTGGAAAGGCTTTACAAACTCTACAATAATTAGTAGTTATTAAAGAATTTTATTTAAAAATATGTTATTCATTATAATCTTTTTACTTTCAAATTTATGACTTGCAAAATTTTCAAGTGTTAGGCATGACGAAAATTATTAAGATGCTCATGCAAAAATGCTTACTGGCACTCCGGACTCTCCCTTCTCGCCTTTGTCACCAGGGAACCCCGGAACCCCTATTGGTCCTCGAGGGCCGATTGGACCTTGCCGCCCATCTTTGCCCTAAATAGCATTACTTTGTTAGTCTCAATACAATAAATAATGTGCGCCTAAACAGCTGTCATTCTCTCTTTCGAATAGGAAAAAGCCAAAAAAGAACAAGTCCAAAAACTATCTAAAAGTTCAGCAAGCGCTAATGAGTAGAAAACCCCGACACGTAAAAATTTTTATTCTTAGAAAACCTACTGGATCTCCTAAATCACCAGCAATGCCTTTGGTGCCCTAAAATCGTTCAACTGAATTAGAAATTTTGACGTAAGTAATCCTAATTAATCTGAAAGGAAATCTGAGCGCCGCCGCTGCTGGTACCACCTGCCTGGCGTGTGTGGTCCAGTCTCTTGCTTGGTGCCCAACTTACATGGGCCACTTGAAAATCAATTAATTAATTCACCTGCGCGCAAAAAGCGACAGTCAGCACTGGGCACACACACAATTTATGCACCGATAACACCACATTTCACTGTTCGGCTGCTGACAGAGAAGCAGAAACAAACCGCTTCCAGTTCGCTCTTTTATTTATGTATTTGTAAATATATATCACACTCCGTGAATCGGAGCACGAGATAAAATCGCAAGCCCTACTTACGTTTGTGCCATTGAGTCCAGGTGGTCCTTGAGGACACACTGTCTGATCACAAGATCCCTCGGCAGCTTTCGGTGCACTCTGCAAAAGCACATTAATCACGTAAAGCGTAGAAATTTATTCATCCTCTGCGATGAGTAGTGGCTTCGTCGTTCAAAGATTTTTTGCAAGGGGTCATGTTTTGCACAAGGTATAGTGCTACTTGGTGCTAACCAGCGCTAACGAGCAGAAGGTATTTTTACACACACACTCATTTGAACCGAGTCAAAAAATTTTAACTCTAAGTACTCGTGAATCAGATTTATGTCATAATTCCGTTGCAAACTTGTTTTTTTCCCTCGCAATGACTGGTTTATTTCTTCCATCTCGTTTGCAAGATTATAAAAAAAGGCCAATGACCAAAATAATACCGGATCATAAAAAAAAAATTCCTGGCTATTTTTATGAGTGCCAACTTTTCATCCTCTGCACAGTGTATAAAGGAGCAGAGGCCGCGATAAAAGAGGATAAAATTTTAAGTAGCAATCGCTGAGTAACGACGAGAGAAAAGACACCCGCGTCTGTTTTTCCACTCGAGAGCGCGTGGGTGGCAGAAAGATTAAATCGTTTTTTCTGCACATTTCGCGAGCGCCAGACGCGCGGGGATGGATGCACCATGCTTACAGGAATTTCGCCGCACGTCTCTCGCTGCGGTCTCTCCGGGTCGCAACTTAGCACCATCCACTGCAAATCAATCTGCAAACAAATATTTCAGCGTTTGGTTAGTGCGTGTTTGCTCAGTGACTTTGTTAAAATAAAAGAACGCGCCAAGATGAATAAGCGAATTATATCTCTGGCGCGACATCTTCCCCACATGCTTCGGTTCTCAGAAAGCAGCGAGACTTGCAGCAGCTTTTAGTGTTGTACTCTCGGTTTTATAACGCACCGACACATTTATTATAATGGAGAGAGCAGAACACACGACCGGGCTACAACATACCCCCCGTGATTTATTAGCAAAAAATGAGTGCATTATTTCGCCGTAACAATAATAATAAATACACTGCATTGTTTATTTATATATCATGCAAGAAGTGCGGCCTTGGGGCAGTGTGAGTAAGTGCGTTCTTTCGCAGAAATGAAAAGTAAAAAAATGAAATTACATTGTATGAATGAATGGAACACTGAGAAATGATTTCCGTCGACAGAGGCAGGGCGAAGGCGAGACCGCGACTTTTGATAAAGTTCCATTGTCAAGTAAGGCACTCGGACCGATATTTCACTGCCCCGGCCGAGACGCACATTCTGCCTTGCAATCGTAAATAATGGTCCATTTTAAGCGAGCAGCAACTACATTATGATGAATGAGCGCCGTTTGTTCTTACCGGAACGGTGCGCCTGCCGTTGGCCATCTTGGAGATTTCGATTTTGCCGTTGACGTCGATGGGCCCTCGCGGCTGCAGGCTGTGCTCCTGCGTCCGCTGGCAGTCCACGTACAGCTCGACCCTGTCCCTGAACACGCCGAAGTGGATCTTGTGCCACTCCTTGTCAAATATCTGCAAAATCAGACGCGCAAATTTTTCGCTCAGCCTCCATGTTCACTCCCACGGAGGCTTCTCGGATTATTTTTTATTAGGTGTAATGTTTCTGGTTACAATTGACATGGAGATTTTAAAAGGGGGGACTGTATAAAACGAGAGAGAGATTATCTTCACGAGCGCGCGACGCTCTAAACAAAAGTAGTGTATAATAAAAAAAAAAAAAAACTGTGTGCTGAATGAAGTTGCCAATTATGCACTACGGGGGACAGTTTCAATTTATGCGTGTTTAGTTTTCTCAGCTCAACACCATCGCAGGATTGTAAAAGTTTATCTTACTGGAGGATCCTTGAAATACAGGGTCTGCAGTCTACCCTCGTAATTGACGATCGAAAACTCTAACGTCTTGTTTCTGCCGTGAACGGTTATGAGGAACTGGGGCCTGTTTTGTAAGTCAGTCATCCTGAGGATGTGCCACCGATCGCCGGGCAATCTGCGCGCCCGGTATGTTGAAATAAAACTAAATTCTTCTGGTAAACCCAGAGGGAACACACTCCTGAAAAACAAATTTAATTCTTTTATCACATATATGTATATTTTTAAATATTGAAATTAAAATATCATACAATCAATAAGATGCTCAAAATGATAGATAGGCTTTGTGTCCTTGTTGAATTAATTAACTTTTTTTCATTTAATAATTTAAATGTTTAAAAAATTTCGTTGAAATATTAAAAAAATGGCTCTACCATTATTAATCACTGTTTGCTACCCAATTTATTTATTAAGATGTTAAACATAAAATTTCTAAAGAAAAAATTCAATCAACAAGCTATTTTCTGATTTGTCTTCAATTTTTTCGTATCCAAAATTAAAAAGTGACATTAAAAAAAATGGCAAAAGGATGAAGCCTATTTATACTTCTGCTAAATTAGTAAATTCAGATTTTTCTCAAAAAAATTTTTTTTTATCTTGCTGCACTTGAGAAAGTATGAAAGTGTAACCTGGTGGGTAGTTGGAGGTCAGCATTGTTATTGAGTCTGTAAGCAGTCTGCATCCTGTTTGAGCCCCTGACGCGAGTCACGCCAGGGTACTGGGTCTCCGGCAGGTCCAGCGCAAAGTTGCGAATAAAATCAAAGGCCTGCAGGTCATCCTCGCCGGGTTTGTAGCCAGCGCATGGTCCATTCAGCTCCACGTAATTGTTCTCGCTCTCTGTACTCGTGACACACAACAAAGTCGTGCATAAATTCATCGTTTCTTTTTTAATTAAATCGAAAAAAAAATTTATTTTATATTTCCGCGTCTTAAAAAAAAAATCGTGAAGAATCGCATCTCATTTGTAAACACGAAACAAAGCCTCATTAGGTTTGTAACAGATACACGTCTCTCAAATTGAAGAATCGGCAAACGGCTAAATCCAATTTACTGATAGAAATCTAAAGAGCGGAAAAAACACAGCGCCGCGGCACGTCCCATTTGAGACGATCATTTCAATAAGTATGGACCACCATCAGGCCTAACTAGGTGTGTGGGTCGACCGGGGATTTATTCAAATTGCATAGACACACATGTGTTGTGTGTGTTCGCGGTAATCAGTGTGTAAACAACAAGGGCGTGTTTTGCCGGACGACGCACAGGCCCGGTTTGTTTTTAAATTATTCGATCGGTAGAATAATGTAATTATCGCGTGCCGTGACAACTCCATGCACTCAACATCTGCCGAATCAACTGCCTTGAATGAATGGCTCGCCGTTGACCTAGACTGACCTGACCCAACTCATTCAGCTGGCCTGTTTTTTGCTGTCAAAGTCGTTTCAAGCGGGAAAGTGAAATTTTATTAATGGCTTCATTTGCTTTTAAATGAGACGGCGGTTTATGTTTCCTAATTTGAAATGCAAATTTTAATTGCGAATTTTTATTGATCGTTTAAGACAATTTAATTAACCATTAACCGTATGAAGTAGATATATAAGCACAGTCTTATAAAAGCGATTTAGCACACTTATTTTAATGAACTTTTAAGTTTATTTGTAATAAAAACGCAATTAATTTTTTGTGATGCAATAAAGGTAAAAATTTTTTTATAATTATATATTGCATTTAAGAAAAAAATCATTTTGTCGCTTGTATGAAATTTAAATTAGAACTAATTTATGTCTGAAGTGATCGCATCTCATTTAACGCAGAACAAGACTGTATTTTTAGCTCATGAACTCATCGCCAACAAGAAAATCAAATTAATTCATCACTCACGACGACTCCGACCAAGTGCTGGGATTACAATGTAGCACTACATTTTTCATTGGCCACTAATAAATCAGCGCTATGTTTAGACTTAAGTCACGCGCGGCGGTGCACTCACCACTCTCAAGACCACGTAGCTCAACGAGCATTTATTATTTTACTCTTAATACGCCCGCCGCGATTAATTATGTTGTCTGTAGCATGAGGCCTTGATCAGAAAACCAAGAAATTCGTCACAATTCTTAAACTTACGAGCTTCGACCGCTAAAGGGGAAGTCAACGCCGCCGCCAACAGAACAACCACTCCAGAGCTCATCACCCTTCCAAACCTGCAAAACGAATGGTTGAAAATTCAATTATTTTGCTTGCCAGATTTTTATAGAATTAGGTTTGTTAAAACGATTGTTGACAAGTTAAAAATTTCAATTTTTCCGAACTTGCGTGTTGCTTAACTAATAATTACTCTTCTTCTGATAACTGATTCTATTTAGTTATAATATTTGACAGTTTTCTTTAAACAAAAACAAAAAATTCATCATGCTATATATTTAGTTATCCATCTTCTATTTAAAAATAAAATATATTGCAATACTTAGAAAAATGATGTATTTTTTGGAACATTTATCCTTGATAAGGTATTTTTATTATTATTAATGTTGTACGAATTTTATATTAGTGTTTTTTTTTATTATATTATTATTATAATTATTATTCCACCAATGCTTTCGGAATTTAATATCTACTTATCAGAAAATGATATGAATCATAATCATACACATCCTAATACACAAATTATTTTAATTTCTAGCATATTTGTCTTTACTTCCTCTTGGTAGTGCTGTCAATTTATTATTTTTAATAATCAAATTTTTTTACAGTGTATAAATTAGAATGTAATATTACCATGCATTTTATAAGGAATAAATAAATAATATTAATTGTACCTGACAGATTAAAAAATATAACAATATTATTATATTATAAAATATTTTCTAACTTAATTTATTAATAAACAAAAATATAAACTGTTTATAAAATATTAAACATATTTTATTGTATCTATTGTCTAATAAATTGATAAAATCAGTTGTCAAGTATTCCCATCGTCTCGACTGCATTTGAGTGAAAATTGAGAAAAAGCGACAGCCGCATAAGGAAAAAGTGACACACATCACTTGCCGCGCCGCCGCGATTCTTTGTTTGGCAATCCCGACCTCTTTTCACGGTCCATTGATCAAATTGAAAATAATTCTTGCGATGGGATCCGCTGAATAAATAATTTCCGTGCGAGTGGAGTTAAAAATATGTTTTGTTAATGTCAGAGCCAGGCCGCGCCGCGAAAGAAAAGCTGATGTCATCTCCGCCTCATAATTCAAGGGGCAACTCTCATCACTTGCACGCGCGACTAATAGCGCCGTTTTTACGACTCATAAACTCACTTTTTATTAGGAAAAAATATATGTCGAGCACCAAACGCAACGCATATTTATAATTGGCGAGACGGTAATTAAAAATAAACATGTTGCTGCACTTGAGTTATGAGCTTCTGGCAACACACAAAAAATTGGCGACTGAAACCAGATTGTCTTTCTATCGTCACCACACTTCAATTGAAACTGGAATTGATCTCTTCTCATAATCATAATTATAGTGAGCGGTATGAATAACGCATTGATTTATTAAATGACATTTATTTATTGAATTATTGTCTCGTATGTGAGAAAAAAAATGTGGTAATTTTAGTTTTTGTCTTAGATTTTAGGGAAAATTTATTAAGCAAAACTTAAAAATCTAACTTCTTGGCATACAAGAATATTTTTTTAAATTATTATTTTTCTTTAAATTTGCCCAAAATTATTCACTGCAGGAGAAATATAAGTAATATTATGTATTAAAAGGTGATTTCTTCAGTGAAATTTATTTTGAAAACAGTTTTATTTTCCTAATCTTGCTGAGAAAAATAGATAAATCCGGCAAGCCAATAATTGATTCTCCTAACTTGCGGCACATTATTATTTACTGGCGCTAATCAATAGAATCTCATACTTGTAATTTTTCGACTCATTTTAACAAAAAATAAATCAAATTTGATGCTTCACATGTATGCCAATAATTGCAAAGCTCGCGGTTTTACAGCGATAGCTCTCTCCACTGAGCGGCAGTTTGAATGATCATTTTTCATAGGGCTGCTCTGCAAGTATATTACGACCCATAAATTATCCTATTCGTGAGCTACAAATTGAATTGGTTCACGTACTATTAAGTGAGATGGGCGGGTAATATGGTGCCATTATTAAAAAGGTCGTGATCTCGCAGCCTCGCTCTCCAGTATAACTTAATCTGTTCGCGAAATCAAATCAAAGAAGCGTTGAGCTGCAGGGAAGTCGTGAATTTTGCTTGTCCGATTTCTCTCTAAGCTAAGGGATTTAATTGAGATAATAAAATTACTATTTTTGTCGTTCTGCAGAATCAATGGATGTATTAATCACTCCAATGAATGTAATATTCGGTTCTGCGGGCGCAAAAGACGCAACAGAGCTTTTTGCGGATTGAGCTTGGAATGACGATCTTGAAGAATCTGTCCAAAAAGTAGAAAACGCGCCACTTCTTGATGTGTTTCACGATGTAGAAGTTTGCCAGTCGAAAATACACAAACGTGGCCATAGTCATGAATAAAAATCTGGTCAGGAGCTTGCAGTTGGCGCGCAAGGCCTCGCCTGGGGTATCCATGTAAAATATATTCTTCATCATCTGGCAAGTCAGGAAGACCAACCGTATCTTGTTGATGAAGCCGATGAAGTACAGGTTGACCAAGGTCAGAACCACCTGAGCCACGCAATAAAGGGCGATTTCCTTCTTACTAGATCCAGGAGGGCACTCTTGTGGTTCTTTAGGTCGAGCTGCGTTCAGGTTGTCGTAAAATGTGATGAGTTCTGTGGCGGAAGAGCTGCGATCGCCCTCAGCAGGGTCAACCTTGTTGGGTTGGTCGTCAACCTGAGGAAGTGGTTGAGGGGCTCCAGTGGTGCTGCAAAGGGTCACGATTTTTCTCGTGATCCAGTTTGTCATCAAGATTCTGACAATATCAAGCATTTTGAAGTAGAGTGTGCCAAAAAAATGTATGAACCAAACAGTTGAAATGCAACAATCGTGATTAAATTCAAACTGTTGATATACAAGGCACAAAATTTTGACTGTTGGCAGGTGCGCAGGTTTTTTTCTTTAAATTAAATTCCAAGCCCGCCAAATCTCATATTCTACTGCAAATCTTACCAAAAAAATGTAATATATTAATATTTGGAATTAAAACAATAATTTAATAAGGAAGACGATTCAAAGGCATAAAACCTGACCCAGGACTACTTAACCTACCAGCTAAGATAGTTAAGCCCATGACTCTGACCCGTCAATCCATTTCACTATTGACTTATGCCGATCAAGACCAGCGAGTCAATTTTGCCTAGACCTGGTTAATAGTCTTTTGAGTCGCCCTCAATAATATATTTCTAGAAAATAAATTAAGTTCGATATGTTTATTTATTTTGCACTAAGCTCTTCCTAATTGACTTTTTTACTTATTATGACTTTTTGCCAATGATGACCTCATAATATCATAAGAAATTAAACTGACTGAATGGCAGCCCTGAAATATATAGCTATGGCGAGGATCAAACCAAAATTATATACCTTTGCCTTTAAACAAATACCATGATTATTATTTAAACCGCCTCGGGCTGTCTTCTTAAAAAACCCAGTGATTAAGAAAATAACATCGTGCTTCTCACACTTGAAGGCGAGTTATTGAATTGTAAGGATTCTAACAGCCACAATCTCGGCGCCGATTTTTCACCAATATTCGCCACACCCTTTGCAAACAATGCTCAAAATAGCTTAAGTGTCATTTCATAGGCGAAATTAATGACGGTTCCGTTTTCCTTTTGTTGTTCAACATCAAAGGACTAACAAAAATATTTGCTCCTCTGAATAGCAAAGGGAAGAAGAAGAGAAAAAAAACGCAGAAAAAACCGGCGAGATTATGTGGGTGATAAAATGAACAGTGTTTGGAGTCTCTTCTGTCCGAGGCACTTTTTCGAAAAGAAACAATTTGTCAGAAGAGTACATTTACAAGCACACTCTGGCCGAGAATAAAGGGACGAGCGAAAATAATCATCAGCAGCATGAGAGCGAATAAATCAGGACGAACAATGGGTGCGATTGATAGCATCAAGCCTGCTTTTCCCTACAAGGCAACTACGAGCCCCATGACTGTATAGAAATATTTTAATTTGCGTGTATTATTGTTGTGCGCTGAGACACAAAGCACGTCATTTAGCACCTTAAATACACCCAACACACAGCTTTGCCGCGGCGTCCAAGAGATCGGCCTTTGAGAGGCAGGTTTATTGCACGCAGGCGTAAAATTAATACCATCGTGGCATTATCATAATGCGGAATTATTGCCAAGAGCTGCCAACTTATTTCAAAAAAGGGAGTTATAGGAATTATGTGCTGAAGTGCCAGAGTTATTGTGGACAAATTTTAAGTGGCAACAAATTTGGAGATACATAATCTCTTGGTGAATAATGTTTCAAAAGAGCAAGGTAAAATTAAGTCAAAAGTTGGGTTAAAAAGTTGATTATCATTTATTTATAAACGCATATTTATTTTAATAGTTTTGTTTTTATCATTTTTTAATCTATTATTATCTTTTATTTTTAAAATTCACTCACTTGTTGTTTATAATTTTAATATTTTTATATTAATTTAAAATATTTTTATTGTTCTGTATGTTCACTTGGTTAAATTATTATAAACAATTAAATTTCAACTTTTGATATTTTTTTCTACTGATATAGTCTAATTTGAGTAGTGTCAAGTGAAAGAAGCGATGTGAAATTTTAATATTCACGATTATATCGCACCTATCCAAAATTTGCTAAAAAATTTCGATAGGATTTACAACTAAAATAAATAAATTAATGTGATATTCAAATTTTTAAGTTAACAAAGAAAAAGTGTTGAGTGAGATTCTTATTTTCACTTATTTCAAACCATTAAATTTATTTTTATTTATTTATCCGAAAAATTAGAATGGAAAATTAAATTAATAAAAAATAGGCAAACAAAAGGAACTCCAACGCACTATTCTTAAGTTTTCATTCAAGCCGTTTTAACTAATACGAGGACAAACGTCAAGCATATTCGTTTCTCAAGCTTGGCAAGCAATTAAGAAAATTATTTCTGCATGAAGTCGCTCACTACAAGCAGCTTTAAGGCACTCCTCTGACAAACTGAGCGGCGAGTGGTGCGTACCTACTCATTGCAGTTAATA